CAGCCAGACAAGGAGACTGATCGATAAGGTTGTGGGTCAGGAACTGGAAGTGAAAAAAGGAAAAGCCTTTAAACAAGGAGGAAAAGCCTGACCAGAGGCTGGCATTGCACTCTAGCAGACAGGACTGGATAGTCACAGGTAGGTATGATCGGTTTTGGAAAAAATGGGCAGACTCCTGGATGTTTGCTTCTCACTGCCAAAGAATCTGTCTTGTTCCTCTGTCTATTCCTGCTTCGCAGCAAAAACAGGCAATGTATATTAGTAATATTAACTAACAGTAGCAATAAATAATAATTAAAAATACTTCATGTATTAGTTACTGTACAAATTAAAGCAGAAGACAGCTCTGGCATGAATCTCAAGCTTGTAACCCTGCAAATGAAGTGCATAATGCCATTGTTTTTTCCAGGTTTTTCTAAATTGGTAAGAAGTTGCACACAACATATACTACCTCAAAAAATTAATATTGCACAAAACATGGGATGTAAAACCTCCTGCAAGAACGTTCATTCTTCCCCTTATGCATACACATTAAGGTAAAGTCTTTAATTACAAGATCACACAGACGGTTTTCCACCTGGCACCCATGCCTTTCAGTGCATGGAATGGATTCACGCTGACAGCAAACTGAGGCTGTACATAAAACATTTGGACCGCTACTTTCAGGACTCTGGCCATTCTTGCCACAGAAACAGTACGGTGAAAGGCAGGCTGGGAAGAGATGAAAAAGAAAGGCTGGGCTGGAAATTAAGGTCTTTTGTCTTGTGATTAAGACAACTGCAATGCTGCCCCAGGATCTGGATTCTGGCCTTCCTCAGCATCGCAGGAGGATTCTGGGGCAAGGAAGCTAGTTTAACAAAATCTTTCAGAGACTGTTGCTAATCTTGTGTTTTCCCTGCCTCCAGGGGCCAAACCCGACTATTTTGTAAGTGCTGTATGCTTCCAACTGCCCCCGAGGTCAGTGAGCACATTGCCTTGGACTTAAACAGGTAATATGCCAAATAATCCAAACAAAGTCTTAAAACACACACCAAACATTCACCAACGTTCTTGCTCTTAATGTGTCCTGGCAAGACCGAGTTTATTCATCTCCCTCACCTCGGAGATACTGTAAGAATAAATTCACTGATATTAGGGCAGTCACTGGTGTGAGCTGCCAAGGAGACCAAGAGTGCAGGGTTTGAATGCAACGCAAACACAGCGTAAACAAGGTGTTGAAGGAACTCTCTGTGCAGTAAAAAGATATTTATTTTGAGAGGTGAGGTATAAAAGGATTTTGCTGTATTCTTTTTGCAGGTTGGATGCTTCCCTGCACCTCGCAAACACAGCTGTTTTAACTGTAGGTAGCAACAGATAGAATTTTGCAAAAACAAGTCAGAAAAAGAAAAACTTCATCACAATTCATTGGTTCCTGTTGAAATACTTCCAATGTTTGGCATTATAATTAGTTTTAATGACTGCATCTTCTACGACTAAGGCTGTCAGAGTTAACATTCATGAATGAACCTACTTCAGAATCACTAGAAGATGAAGAAAATCCTCATGATCTCAGAATCCAAATTCTCCTTGTGCACATCGCAATGAGCCTCAGGTAAAAAAAGCTTGCAGTGGTATGGGCGGGGGACGAGGAATGAGCCTGCAAAGCTGGCTGTCATAACCCATCTACAGCTATGTACCTAATCCCTGCACAAATCTCTTTATGACAAGTCAAAAGTAAGGACAAGTCACCCTGTCTACACACCTACTCTCTGCAGGCTGAAAACAGACAATCCAACCACTCTTACCTTCTGACAGACTGAAGTCAGGCTGTTGCCCTGTTGATCAGGGCAGATCAGCCTGATCACTTAGAGCAGCCCGAGCCCAAGGACTGAACTGGTTATGACACAGGTAAGTCCTGCCTGTCTGGCCAGCATACTCTCTTCTAACAAGCACTACCTCTCTTTTTGACAGAAGGGCAGCGGGAAGGGCACCAGTGGGATGTCAGGGCTGACATCCCCTGTGGGCTGCCACATCGACTATAATGACCTACATCTACTCTTCTCTACCATTCTTCCCTCTGGCTTTCTGCAGCATCAATGCCGTTCTGCTACTCTCCACATGGTGCAATTAGGAAGAGACCACCCTGCTGTACACGAATTGTCAGAACCACGTATTTTTCAGTCCTAGATTGGTGGGGAACAGTGACTTTTCCTTCCTTAAGTTTTTATGCATTCAGTACATAGACACATACAATGATACTGTCAGAGCAAGACAACTCTGCTGCCATAACTGACAGAATAAACTTTACGCATTCACACCAGCTGCTCCAAGAAGCTGCAGGAATTAGAGGTTTGCCAGAAACAGAAGAAAGGCAGAATCATAGAATGGTTTGGGTTGGAAGGGACCTTAAAGATTATCTAGTAGCACAGCTCCCCGCCATGGGCAGAGACACCTTCTCCCACAACAGGTTGCTCAAAGCCTCATCCAGCCTGGCCTTGAACACCTCCAGGGTTGGGGCATCCACAAGTTCTCTGGACAACCTGTTCCAATGCCTCATCACCCTCAATGTAAAAAATGTCTTCCTTATATCTAATCAAAATCTCCCCTCTTTCAGTTTAAAGCTATTGCTCCTTGTCCTATCACCACACGCCCTTGTAGGCCCCTGCATCTGTACTGCATCTGCCCTTATTGAGTCCAGATCCCAAGTTCTCTCCCAAGGAAAGAGTCTCTCACATGTTCCTTCAGCTCACTCACATATTGGCTACTTAGTAGTAAGAATGAAAACAACTCAACCCACCACCAGTATAAACTTGGCAAAATACAAGGCATCTCCTTAAGCAGCAGCCAAAAGCCACACAGAGTTGAAAATTTCAGTAACTGATTTTTGCTATGGTTATCTTTTTTTCGCTTTGGAACACAGTGACTTGTTTAAAACAGTCAGCCAGCAGGGCAAACATTTGCCCAAAAGGAGAGTCATTTGCCCAAAAGATTTAATTTTAGAGTATATTTCATCAATATAATAATACACTAATAAAATTTACAACTACACAGGCATTTTAAGCCAAATGTTTCATCTACTTCCCTTCTCAAACAGAATAAGCAAGTGCGTACATCACCTGAAAAAAAATTTAAAAATTAAAATAAAAAAAAACAAAACCACAAAAACAAAAAACCAAGAAGAATATAGCTGATGACTTAAACTTTTATCCTGAGACCATCCAATGTGACCTACACAGATACTACACTTTTAGTGCTAAGAACCATACAAATATAGCATAACTGCTAGTAAATTCTTAGGGCTTGGTTTGGTTTGTTGTTTGGGTTTTTTTGTTTTAGTAACCCTTACTACCTCCTGTGGCCACCGATGAGTTTGCTGCTGCAGTGAACTCATGCACTCCTCCCAGCGGGTGCATTTCTAAACAATTGACATTCGACAATAGATAACATTGAAGCATCGGCAGGGCAGCTCCGGAGAATGACACACAATTATGGAAAGCTTTGAACAAAGGCATTCACAGAGGTCTCAGGAAATGGATTTCCATATGACTAGCCATCCCAGTATGTGTTTATAATAAATGCTGCAGGCAGAGCTCTCCTTAGTTACTTTGGTTCCTTGCAGTAACTCTACATCCACACTCTTAAAATGTATAAAATACATCTTAAACTGGAAAAAAATAAGAAGGAGGAGGAGGAGGGAACACCAGGTTATCTTTACGCATCTCTTCTCTGTGCACTCCAAGGTGACAGAAATGGAGCTTCCTGAGCATAATATCAAAGTGACATGACTCTGAGTCTAGGTGTTTCTCATTAATTTGAGAGTCTTCCTTGCAGAATTCGGCACCTTTCACTTGAAAGGACACCCAAGGAAGTATTTAATTACTTCAGTGGAATACTTCTTTCACCTACCAGTTGAACTACTTTTTTTTCCCCCCTTGGCTAAATGCACATCCTTCATCTGTTTAGCAATGCATTGAGGTAGCTTTAAAAAAAAACTAAAACTGGATGGAGGACTAGTAGTCACTCACGTTTGCAAACACGCTGTGCTGTGTTTTTATTTTTAAAAGCTGTTTCTGGTCTTAAAAAATAGTTCCTTTTAGGCTAAGGTAATGTTCTTCTGGATGCTTTTGACTGAAGTGATATTATAAAGTCTTCTCAAGAACAGTTGAGTACATTCATGTTGCAAGTTCCCAGTGAGCTTAAACTAGCTCATTAGCTCGAGACAACAGGACAGAGAACAGCAAAGCCCTCAGGACAGATGGCAAGACCCACTGTGAATACTGGGGCAATTTGTTCACATAGCTTAGTGCTCTTATGTCAATATTTCTAGCTGACCTTGAATTAGCTAGCTTCTTCAAGCCAACTACACAAATACAAGTTGTCACCAAAGCAGTTCAAACAAGTCTATGTCCATTGAAAACTCTGCCACTGAAATATCATACTGGAGGAAATTCTGAAATCTGAAAATTTTAGGTAAACTGGTTTGATTTTACTGACTTTAGAAATGGAAGAAAAATAAACCAGGACTGTGGACAAAACTTAATGCTGAATTAGTAATGAAAGATCACTCTTTCTACTGAAGAAGATTTGTGAAATACATGGGGAAACAAAAACAACAAGGAGATTTTAAAGTGCATTTGTAATAATCTCCTCAATTTGAGTTCTTTATAAGATTGACCTGTTCCAAATGTTAGATTGTTATGCTTAATCATCCAGGGACTGAAATACTTTACTGAATCATAATTCAGAACCAAAAACTTTGCAGCTGCTTTCTGAGAATTCCTAATCTGAAGTCATTTAAGGAATGACCTTCCTTCAGGATAGCTATTTCTCCAGTTCCCATACAAACTAGAAACATATTTTGAAGAAAGTTTTAACCATATAAACTGTATTTTGATTTGTTTCTCAAAATGCCTTAGATCACACCTTAATATAAACAGTTCTCTGCTGGAAGGAGGAGAAAGAACCAACCCACCAGTTACAGTACCTTCAGTGAAAAGCTCCCTCCATTGTATAAACAGTACCTTGGATGTAAGGTCTCGGTGGAAAATGCCTTTATAGTGAAGATATCTGATTCCCATTGCAATGTCATATGCCAGTTTTACCCTCACTGTCCAGGGCAGATGCTGGTTACCGTCTAATAGCTGTTCCAGGTTACCACAGTTGATGTACTGAAAAGACAAAGCAACATTTGTAATTTGTTATTTAACTTCATATATTGTCAGGAATGTAAAATTCATCATCACGTAAGTGTCCTCAGCTCAGCTACACATTAAAAACTCTCTTGTTATTCTTAAGGGCTAGGCAGGCACAAAGTTTGCAGATCAAGAGATGCTGAAAATGGCTCCCTTCACCACCTGTACCAATGCGTTTATATTAAAGATACATGCAACATCAACCACTGCATTAACTCTATGGTACTTAAATAGACCCGTCAAAAACATCTACATCACCCTCTCATTTCAGTGTGAGGAAAAGAAGGGCAAAAAGGATGAAGAGCTGGCTCTCAGGTAGAATAAGTCAACAAAGAGAGGGCTAAGGATCCAAGTGTAGGTCATGGAGCCTGATCAAGTTCCCAGACATCAACTCCCTAAACTGAGGCAGCATCAAAGAAAAATATTACGACACGTTGCTGGAAGCTATACTTTTTCACTGCTGTATCTGTAAGTCCTAATCAGCAATCTGATCCCCACTGTGTTCAGTATTACATCAACACCATCAAATGGTGGCCCTCATGAAAAGGAATCTATATTAAGCCTAAGATAAACGCTACAAGAGACAGTGAAACAAAGCAGCACCCAAATGACGCTAAGTAATGCAATTCAGGGCTAAGACATGGCAGCTCCACTGCTTCTCAAATAATCGTTACAGCAACACTAGGCTTATTCTTCATGTATAGACCCTTTACATCATGACAGCAGCTACGCCATGTTTGAGTAGCTTCTTGTTTCACTCCCAGCCCCAATTCCCTTACCAGCCACAAAACAAAAATACTAGCTCATTCCGGAAGGAAAACCTTCCAGCAATGCAGTGACTTCTCTCTAGAAAATACCAGCAAAGCAAACAGGATAATTTGCTCCCAAACCCAGTCCAAACGTGTCACCATGGCAGGCTGTACCAACTTTGCTCCTCTGTGCCAGACAGCTCTCCAACACTGTCCCAAGAAGCTTCGCTCTTTCCTGTGTCATTTTCCCCGACAAAACATGTGCCACCATGACCATGTTAAAATAAAAATTGTAGATGTAGCTCTTGTTATTTCAGAAACTTTGAACTTGCTTCTCTTTGGTTGGGCTTCTTTGTGACTTGGAGCCTGGGGCACAAGGCAAACGCGACCCACACACCATGTAGCGTGGATGTAGCCAACCTCCTCAGACCACGCACACATAAAGCAGACTGTGCCAAGAAGCTGGGGGGCCATGGCTCACCTCCTGCATAGCCTACAAAACCCAGCTGCTTCCTTACAGTCGGGCCCTGCCTTCTGAGCTCATCCATTAATTTCGAAAACCTTTTTCGGCAGATACGCCGAGTTTCACCGGTTACTATTTAACGAGACTAAACCGCTGGGGCAGACGGCGCACAAACCACCTCCCGGTGCCACCCGGCTCACCGGGAGGTGGCACCGCGCCCTGCCCGGCCCCCGCACCGCGGCACATCGCCGGCAGCCCAGGACCAGACCCTCTGGCAGAAGCTCTGTGGACTGCTGGACAAGCCGGGAAGTGCACACGGACACAGCGAGCACAAAACAGCCTCACCCTCAGCGTTTGCTTTTTTCTCTCTTTTTTTTTTAATTTAAAAAAATCCGAACCTTTGGCCTGATCACGGTGCTGTGCATCCACCTTTTGTCCTTGAGCAACGATCAAGGCAAAGGGTGAGTAGCGAGTTACTCCTTTACACTCAATGCTCCTCAAAGAATGATTGACAGCTAGCTCCATTCCGGGCCAGATTTTAGAGCTGATACCAACTACCTTCTCATATCAAAGGAGGCAATCCCATAAAAGTCTAGCCTGGGTCTAGGAAATGCTCCAATATTTAGCAATTCCACGTTCTTATGACTACTTCAAGATGCTGCTTCATTCTTTTGCCTTAGACTAACAGCAGGAGAAAGAGTGCAATGATACACAGCACAGGATTTCAAAATAAGGTACAGAGAAACAGAATGCTTCCTCGTATTAACTATTTCTAGACCAAACAGGGAAAAAATAGTTGTATTTTACAATTAGGCATGAGAAGCTCTTGACCTCTACACAGTAATCTGACTGGCGTTTTAAAACACAATGTCCTGTTCTTAAGTAGTAAAATTTTCTATCAAACTATTCTCTTTTGTGCTAAAGTCAAGATAATTTAATTACTCAGAAATTTGTGCTTAGTGCATATCATTTTGCAAAATAAAATGCCTGCTGGCCCTTGTCCAAAAATCAAGGCAAACAAGACCTAACACACCAACGATAAAAGTCAAATGTTTAGGACTGCTATGGCCCAGGCACTGCAGGCAGGCGGGCGAAGGGAGTTGATCAGATGACTATGCTGGAAATTAGAAATTGCAGGCTGGTGCAAGCCAGAGATCCAAAACAACCTGTCCCTTATCCTAGGAGTTCGTGTGTCGGGAGAGCGGAGCAGCTCTGGAACAGGTCACTCAGAGGCTATGCAATCTCCATCCTTGGAGATTTTCAAGGCTCAACTAGACAGAGCTGCAGCCAACCTGACTTAGTGTTGGAAACAATGCTGCTTTGAGCTTTTCCAACTTTGATCTTTCTTTCTCATTGCTTTTATTGAAACCCTTAAGGGAGCTAGATGACCTTATAGAGCACTCAAGGAAAAAAAAAAACCATTGCTCAATATAATTTTTCTTTTTTTTTTTTTTTTAAATCACAAGTTGCTAGCATTCTTAAGGCAAAAATGCTGAATAAGATTTCTACATTAACTTCATATATATTCCCAGTCTCCTTGGAACAGTGCGAGCAGCACTTCTCATCCAGTTATGTTCAAATCAGAACAGTATTGATCAACCTGGAACAGAAGGCACTAAAGCACCTAGCTCAATAACGCAATTATAACGTGACACTTAACAATTATCTCAAACCATTTCACCTTTCTGACCGGGCAATAACACACCATCCATATAGCACTACCGTACTTGAACTCATTGGCAGGAGAATGTAAGGGGGAAGGGAATGACTGGCCGGGCTTTCTGTTTTGGTTAGGGTTAAACTCTGCTGTACCATGACAGTAATAGCTCCGGGAATGCTAACAAAGTAAAACAAGCAACCTATAAGAGTACTGACATACACACTGAAATGTGACGATAGCTATCTACTATTTTGAGTGTGCTCATGCTTTCCTTTTCAATAAAGAAGCCTACTGATTTGATCCGTTGCTGTTATATTAGTTAAATGCATCTAATGTATCTATTGTCCCAGCACCCTTCCAGCCAAATCAGCTTGCAGGGTCATTCACCCATCCTAACTGCAAGGACTGGATTCTGGCGCGGGCTGGGTGAAAACTGACACACACATAGGACACAGCACGCATGAGCTGTAAGAACAAGAATCAAACCTGACTCTAGTGCATATACAAACCCCACTCGGCCTCCTGTCCGAAACACCACTTGGCAAGTGCTCAGACCTCATTTATTAAAGACGTGAGTTCTTGTTTTGGCTCTAATTTCTAGCGCGCTTCTGTGAAGCACAGCAGGGTGATCATCAAATGAACTAAGATTTTCCTATAGACATCTTTAAGACTCTAGTTGATCTCAGATTTTAGCTGGCCAGCTGGTAATATTTGCATGCCTAGTCCTGAATTGTCCCCAAGGCAAGCATCACACAGAGTTCAGTGCTTCCTCAGTGTCACATAAGTAATCCAATTCTTCCGGTCATTCAGGCTGATAATGCAAACAGCCAGCCTGATGGCCTGTTGTTTTTTTTTTTCAGAGCTCTTCAACAATGCCTTTTCAGAATAGACACAAAATTATGTACAGTATTTCCTAATTGCCAATGCAACTGAAGGAAAAATACTTGTTCTCAGTCTCTAACTAGCACAGACCAGCTCTGTGTGGTAAGGATACCCTAAGGATAGTAAGTGCACCTCTCCCAAAGCAAATACTGGATTTCATTTTGTCCCCGAAATGTTTCAGTGCTGGTACACTAAGGCTACAGCGCACACATCTCAAAGCATTATTCTACGACAACAACAGCCATTGCGTAAGTGTACAAGCAAGTGGAGCAGAGATCTGATCGGGCATGGACAATAAAAGCAAAGCACACTACATTTCATAAAGAGAGCTCGCAGCTAAATGGAGCAGTGTTCAGACCTTTTCAAACTCTGTATCATCAGGTTGCAGTGAAACAGCTACCCATTATTCCTACTACTAGCTTTTTGTCATGTAAGAGGACACCAACATTTATCTGGTCGCCAGAGTCTAAAAGTAAACTGCTTTAGGTTGTTTATTTTTGCATTTACTTACAGCTTACTCAACAGCAAATTGAACATTGGTTTAAAAGACCATTTTAGCTCACAAAAATACTCTTTTCGTACAAATTTATTCATACTAAGAGCTCATGCTTTTGTTGCTAGAATGAAAATTCAGCAAAACTCTATTTGTTACACCTCTCCCAAACCTTACGAGGCAAGAGGGCAGTAGCTTCTTTGAAGGACAAGTTACCCAGAAGCTCGCCCAAGCATAGGTGCCTTCTGGATCAAAGAGCATTGAAGGGGCTTTTGATGTTACAGCTTAATGCAATGAAATGCAAAAGCAGCAGTATGCAACCCTTTCCCACACAACAGTCAGGGCATAGGGAAACATGCTGGTTTAACTTAAGGATAGGATAATAGGACTGCTTCCTTGCCAGACACTTGCAGTCACGTTATCAGACTCAAGCATATGAAATGAGGAATGGAATTAAATTCAGCTTATAACAGCACTTACACATAGCATTATATGCTTCATTTCAAGAGACTAATACTGAACTTCAGCTGTCAGATTTTAGCCTTCAAAATTCACAATAAAGGTTTGAACACACTAATATGAGAACTAGAAGCTTTAAAAGAAAAGGTGCATGAGGTTCACATGATGCCAACAGCTACTGCACAAAAACAAAGACTCCAAATATTGTTAAGTCTAAGGGGGAAGACTGAAGGGAACTGCAAAGAGTTTTCAATGCTACTTTGAAAGCCA